ATCCTGCTCATTCAATACGTCTAATTAGAAAATAAAACATGATATATGGAAATAAATAATTAAAAAGAATGAATAAATAAACGCTAAATGATAATTTAATGTATAAGAGGTCGAATAAAATTGTATCATATTTAAGAAAATTTTTGTGTGAAATAGAAAACAAAATATGTGAGAAACTGCAACGAAAATTCGTGTCAGGTGAATTGTGATAATTTATATTTGTAATTTTATTACAATTTATGACAATAGGTTTTATTTTTCTTATACGAATTATTTAATTAGAAAGTGATACCATTTCTCGCCGATGAAGAGTCAGTAAACTGTTCGCCTCTTTGCACCTTTTCATATTTGAATTTTTGATAAAGAACAAAAGTATATATGTATAAAGAAATTATAGAAATAAACACAGTACAGGATGTCCCAAAATTGTTACTTTTAAAAGTGCTATAATATAAGCGCAGTTATAATTAGCACGAAAAATAAGTAATTGAAAGACTTAATTTTGAGTTTTTGTAAGTGACTGGAAGAATTTTAATTAATGAAAAGGTCGTCGTTTTGGAGACACCATGTACTAAGGCCGTTGCACCAATCACGGTTTAAACTTGGTTCATAATTTGAACTAAGTTCGAAGACGGGGCCGTTCTACTGACGAATTTACTTCAAGATGAAATGAAAAACGGAAATTTTTAATTCGCATGTATGTATTTAGCAATCATAAACCGTAAAAAGCTAGTGTCACGAGCGGGATTCGAACCCTCGTCCTTCGGCTCTAACCACTTGAGCGATTTCAATATTGAGCCGAAGAGCGTGGGTTCGAATCCAGCTCGTGACAGTAACTTTTTCATCTCAACCCAGACCTTAGATAAGAAGTACAATTAATTAAAGGCAATTTTTAAGAGTAACTTGGTTCGGTACTAAACTGTGTTTAAACCAGGTTGGTGTCTGAATAAGAAAAAAATTCAATAATTTGTATGCCAAAAGTAGATCAATTTTTATTTAAATGTAGGAAACTGATTCAAATCGCTCTCAATTTTTGTTGATCCATATTTAAATGCAGGTTGTTAAATAAAAGTCGCTAGGTCTAAGCTAGGTTTAAACCACGCTTGACAGCAGTTCACATTTGAACCAGTTTATTCATTTGAACTCGGTTCAAGATGTAATAAAAAACCAATTTTTTGTTAAACCCGGATCAGTACTTAGTTTAAACCAAGTTGGTGCATCGGTCGTTAAGTGTTTATACAGTTAAACTTCGATAAAAGGAGATCAACGTGCAAGAAATTGTCAAGTAAGTAAAATTTTACTTCCTCAATGGTACATAAATATTGTAAATACTTAAAATAAAATACTTTACTCCACTGTTTTATAAAATTCATTTACGTTTTAGTGGTCAATTGACCAAGTTACATCTTTCAATTAATTATTCTTTCCACGTAAGGTCTTGGTTGAGATAAAAAAGTCAGTGTCACGAGCGGGATTCGAACCCACGACCTTCGGCGAAGGTCCTAAGCCGAAGGACGTGGGTTCGAATTCCGCTCGTGACACTGACTTTTTTATCTCAACCAAGACCTTACATATGGAAAGAATAATTTATGTTTTATAAAAGTTGAAATCGTATTTTATCAAGTTAAACCATCTTAACGTAAAAATCGCTAAGGTTTTAAGAAAAAAACACGCAAAGTTCGTTTCAAGACTGTTTAACAATTTTTAACCCACCCAACCTTATAAGGTATGCAATTTTTAAACGGATAATTGCATCAGAAAACGTTTTTCCCTTTTGGATAGACAAATTTCGTAAGGAAGTTATGCCAAGTCATCTTGTTATACGCAAGAGTTTAATTGAGCTCACGTAGTTAATTTAATTTGCTCTTAGCCACTTTTACGTCCATTAAAAGTTATTTCTTACTAGTTTAGTCTTACAAAACGGTATTCATTATTTATTCAAAAGTATTTGCAAGTAGGAGGACGGACTGAGTGGGATGGTAAAATTTACTTTAAAAATTCAACTTTTTCATCCATAAAAGTCTGCTCGTTTTTTTTGTTACAGGAATAATATCCATCTTTGAAAGAAGTTTTAAATGAATATTGTAATTCGTTAAATTTGAGCGATTTGAAGACGTTATATACATAGAACAGACGTTTCAGCGCCACCGATCCATCACTTGAGATCAGTAGAGGGTGAGTAACCTTAAAAAAAACACAAAGGACACATGAGTCTTGAAAATAAAAGTTAGTTCAGGATGAACCATCTTGAGGGTAATGGTTTTGGATTATAAGCCCCTGGTGGTCCTCAAAGTCGCGCCAGGGCTAATGGGTTCAAATAAGGTTAAAGGTTAAAAGTCCTTTTTAAGACTTACTCACCGCGACCAATATTGGTTTATTGTTCAATCCCCATTATTATCTACAGCTTTTCGTTATGTTTTTATCAGATCCCAAAGATTAGTTGGGTTGGGTTTTCTTTTCCAGAAGTCTCATCCTGCAAACCAATAAAGGATATGTTCTATTGTTTCTTCTTTCTGGAATTATCTGCACAGGCTTGTTTCTGCTGCTTTGAGTTATGCCTCTGGGGTCAGCAGTCAGTATCATTCCAGTCAAAACATCCTAGGCCTAACAAATCTGCCGTTGGTGGGATGGTTCTTTGATGAAATGCATGTATCTTTGAAAATTTGATTGTTTCTATCCCGTATAAGAGTGCCTTATTTTCAAAGGTGTTCTGATACGTCTGTCTTCACCTGACAGTCGGCATGTTTCTGACTAAGCTTTGCCCATCTTCTTTAAGTGGTGCATAGAGGTCTATAGTTTAAATCTTGTCTGCTGAGAAAGAGTAGTTCCTTCTTTTTTATTTCTAACAGATTTATAAATATCTAAGCTTGCCTCGTACGAAGAGGTTTTGTCCAGTGATTATTTCTTTTTCAGGCCATTTTTCCAGGTCCAATTTACACTCCACGTACACCTAGTCCTCCGGGTCCCATTGGTGAGAGAGCTACCTCAGCTTGTTATATTTTTCTATACCTTCATGTGGAACCCACCTCAAGACACCTAGCTGTCTTTCTAGGGCCATTAGGCAATTTGAGGCATTTTCAGACTAGTTTGACGCTCAAACTATCCTGGCTGTCCGAAAGTAGTAATCTAAAATAATGAACCAACAATGTTCGTAAGCTGGTTACTTTCTCATAGTAGGGATGTTTTTACCGAGAGAAGAGTTCACTCACCTTTATTTTGGAGAGATTTATATCTTATCTCTTGGCTTGGCCCATACCTGATGCTTCTGTCCAGTGGTTTTCTTTCTCAAGCCGTTTTCCCAGCTCCATCTTAAGAACACTCTCCGGTGTTTGAAAGTGATCGTTTTTTTCCATGAGTACGTTAAAACTGCACGTTTTTGTCCAAAACTCGAGAATAAGTCGAAAACGGTTGAGAAATCGGTCAAAGTGGAAGGTGTCTAATCTAAAGCGTATTAAAATTTCCTATCGACTGCCATAGGGCGCCGCTCCAGGACAATTTACTGGTTACAAAGCTCAATTTGAAGTTTTCGTAAAAAGTGCATGAAAACATTTTAAAAAAGCCACCTTTTTCAGCGTGAAATATTCTAAAAAATGAGACCTAGCGCAAGTCTGTGACTTAAAAGGCTGAGAAAACTGCATTTCCAAAGTTGGCCATTTTTCCTGCAAACACGAAGTAATCGGGTTTTTTGACGGGTGGTGTAGTTTAGAGTTTAGAATGAATGGAGACGTCTAATGGGAATTTTTTTTATGATTTAATTTAGAAATGGGAGAAGTCTGTACGAATTCCTAAGATGGTTTATTGGGTTTTGGGATGATGATGATGATAGATACTAGGAAGTCGAAGGTTTTAGTTCCCCAAGCACTGCAGCCTTCTGGCTTGTTGTACTTTCCTTGTTCGTTAGTTCAGTGCAATCGTTTTGGTTACTAGGTTATTGGCTGTCGTTCCTTTTCCTGGGTTTTCTTTGTACCACAGGTTATGACTCCATTGAGCAGTCTTCGTTCGGAGATGATACGGGTGGCTGTTTCTTCTTTCTCCTTGCATAACCTAAAAGTGGGATCGTCACTGAACTAGCACAGTTTGTGTACATGTTTTCTAAAATGCCAGTGACCGATAATCTCATCACTCCTCTGAAGTTCTTCTGGAAGCTGGGGGACCAATTCGATCCATTTATTGAGGACAACTTCCGGTTAAAGCGAGATAACGCTCGGCGTTTGCCCGACTTCTCTTGGATGATGTAGGGATTACCGCAATGAATTGGTTCTCCTGGCATGACTCGTATGAAAAACTTTGGGACATGATAAATAGACAGGTTAGACAACGTTCGCCGACTCCAACACGCGTTGAACAGCTTCATACTCCATGGGTAGGAGACATAAAGTTCTCTGCGATGCCAGAGGAGGTAATACGCAATAATAATGGTAATATTTTTGTTCAGATCTCCCCGTTTTACTTCTCCGTCCACAAGCAACACCTTGGAGTTAATTGCATAATTAACACAGAGCCGCCGGAAGCAGTCATTACAGCCCACTTTACAAGAAAGATTATTACGTGTAGTTCAGCTCAAACGCTTCTAAAAGGGTTCAGCTTTAACTATACTCAAAATCCTCAACAATTCGGTTCAGAACGAGTTTGACCCTAAAATAGTCTTAATAATTTAATATTTTTTAAAGATAAGAATAAAGTGGTGATAAAGTATTTAAGGTCTTTTTTTATAGTAACGTAAAATAATAAAACACATTGATCTCCTTTAATATATACTTTTTACTGCGTATACAATAAAAATATCTTTTGTTCTTTTTCCCATTATTTTAATTAAACTTATATACAACAGATGTTCCTTTAATATTTTGTTAATTAATTGTTTCCATTCCAAAAAAAAATAAAAATAATAAATGAAATTAAATAATAAAAATAAATTTAGAAACAATATTGTTTCGTCGAAAACGGTTCTTTTTGTAATAATTATGAATATTATTAACATGTATATGTATATTAATTACCCTTGCGCGATCCAGAGAGGAAGAGGTGTGGTAGTAATCTCTATCTCTCTTCGTTGGTATGAAATCGTTCGTCCTGTAGGCAAGTGAAGGGTTTTTTTTTCTTCTAGGAAGTGCAGGTTCTATGGCACCAAGACCTGTTCAATAAAAACAAAAAAATTGAAAATGTTTCCAATTTATTTTCGTCTAGGTCCGTTTTTCTACATTTAACTTTAAAAAAAACTGACACAGAGAGAAGATGATGGATTAAATTTGGACTCAAAGCACGAAAGTGAGCGTTTAAAAATAAATTGGAAAAAAATTTACACAATATATTTAAATAAAGAATAGTACAAAGAGAAATAGAGCGAGTGACAAAGCGTTTGTAAAAAAAAGAAGCCAGTTTTTCCAAAAGCTTAACAACATAAAGTCAACTTTTCACCTCATCAACGCGAACGAGTAATTTAGTATTTCAGTACAAGTTCATATTCAGTAGATTTTAGTCTTATTTGCTATTCACATCATCATCACTGGGGTTAATCGTGTTAAAAATGTTAAACTCTAAATTGCTATTTCGGAACTGAAAGAGCACCCGATACAAGCGCGGTCTAGGGTCTAACCGGCTTTTATTAAAGGGCAGTATAGAAAAGTTAGTGAAAGCTTGATAAAGTTAAATTCCATCCCTAGATTCCCATGCTTGCGTGTATACCCTAATAAATTTGTTATGACTTTTAATAAATTAATAAAAATTTAATCTATCAACTTGTCAACTTTTGACTTATTTTTAATATTTAAAATACTAAATCCATTATATTTCGTGGTCCGATTGACCAAATAACTTCTTTCAATTAATTAATCTTTTTATGTAAGGTTGCAATGAAGTTGGTGTCGGAGTGGATCGAAGTCACGATAGCTCAAGTGGTTAGAAGAAAAAAAATTAATATAAAAATATATAATTATAATAAAATTGAAACAATATAGAACTAGATCTAATAGGGCTAGTACATTTTACAATATAACAAAAGAATAACCTTAGAGGTTATGTTTTCAACCTCAAATCATTTGCAGTAACCTTAGTAGTTATATATATATATACAGGGTGAATTGCTACTCGTGCTACAAACTTCTCCAGTAGATTCTTCACCCTAAAATGAACAAAAAAGTTCATATTGTCCATGGTCCGATTCTCAACCATTTCAGAGTAATTTCGCTTTTTATCGATTTTGAAAGATATCACGTCCTGGCGTCGGAAAATCGTGATATCTTTTAATCTAAACATTTCTCTGAAAATCTAATAGCACCGTTGAAATTCCCGTTAATTTTTCAATAAGAAGATGACGGTGGCAAAATGTTTGGGCTAATTTTTTGTGTTTTATTTCAGCCAGAACTACAAAAAGAGTGGAAAATTGTGTAAATCGGAAAGTGTATAAAGTAATCCAGAGTTTCTAATTTTAGTCTCAGAAGGCAGCAAATTTGAGGAAAACTACCTGATTTAATAACGCTTCCAACGCACTCGTCATTTTCTTATTTAGTGGTTGTGAGACCAAGATGTTGATGACAAAAAGAGAAAAAATGGTGGTTCAAGGATTGCTAATGTTTGAGAGTGACTTGCTACTCGTGCTACAAACTTCACCAGTAGATTCTTGACCCTAAAATGAACAAAAAAGTTCATATTGACCATGGTCCGATTCTCAACCATTTCAGAGTAATTTCGCTTTTTATCGATTTTGAAAGATATCACGTCCTGGCGTCGGAAAATCGTGATATCTTTTAATCTAAACATTTCTCTTAAAATCTATAAGCACCGTTGAAATCCCCGTTAATTTTTAGAGAGAATCAAAATCATAATTCCATTGAAATTTTTTAATTTAATTTAATGCCCATTTAGTATGTAATGCTTAAGAAGTTTACAAACAGCTAGAAGGTCAAGGAAGAAAGACCCAAACGTTTTGCCACCTTCATCTTCTTATTGAAAAATTAACGGGGATTTCAACGGTGCTTATAGATTTTAAGAGAAATGTTTAGATTAAAAGATATCACGATTTTCCGACGCCAGGACGTGATATCTTTCAAAATCGATAAAAAGCGAAATTACTCTGAAATGGTTGAGAATCGGACCATGGTCAATATGAACTTTTTTGTTCATTTTAGGGTCAAGAATCTACTGGTGAAGTTTGTAGCACGAGTAGCAAGTCACTCTCAAACATTAGCAATCCTTGAACCACCATTTTTTCTCTTTTTGTCATCAACATCTTGGTCTCACAACCACTAAATAAGAAAATGACGAGTGCGTTGGAAGCGTTATTAAATCAGGTAGTTTTCCTCAAATTTGCTGCCTTCTGAGACTAAAATTAGAAACTCTGGATTACTTTATACACTTTCCGATTTACACAATTTTCCACTCTTTTTGTAGTTCTGGCTGAAATAAAACACAAAAAATTAGCCCAAACATTTTGCCACCGTTTAATACTTACAAAAACAGCGATAACATTGGAAAGAAGTAAAGTTAAAATTTTTTGCCTCTAAATGCCTGATTTTTTTCAAAAATCTCAAAAATGCCAATAATTTTGAAACGACTACATCGATCTACAGGAAATTTTACACAAATTTAGAACGTTACAAACTACATGTTATGGCATAAGCTTGGCCCCCTAAAAAAAAAGAAAAAAAAAGTTGGACATATAAAACGTATATACGATATAAAGGAACATTTTAGGAGTCTTTGTTGATTTCCTCTTTATTTCCCTAATTTATAATGTTGTAAAATCTAAACATTGCTGACATAGCTTCAAAGAACAAATATTCAAATTTCCAATGGCTCCAATAACGTTGAATTTGAAGAAAGCCCAGAGGAATTATCCATTTTTATGTTGATCGCTGGTATGCAAATTATTAATTAAACAAAAATTCCCCTTGACTAACCCATCCTGAAAATGTCCATTTTTGCTATGTACATTCGTATTTATTGTTTTTGAGAGGCAAAGTTGATATTCGGTTTCTTATTTCGTGGCTGGAATTGTTGCCATCTCGTAGATCCGACAGAAGGACAAAACACCCTTTTTCATCATAGTTGTAGGACAATGAACCCCAGGAAAATAATTTTGTATTTATACATTGTTTATACTAGATTGCTTTCAAGTTAAAATTTTTATTAAGAAAATAATAAATCAAAATATCTTAATATATAAAAATTTCAATGAAGATCAGCTGGTGATAATAGGTTAACTTTGTTGATATTTTTATGGTTGTATTTATTCTAATTTGTTTTTAATCGATCACACTTTCTATAAATTCTCTATTGTCGTAAATAATTTATATAATATTTTATAAACAAGAAGGGATGATTTCTATTATCACCAATTTGTCACCACAGCCAGCTTACTCGAAATCGAGAATGGTCGGTGGTTCACCAACGATATTTGTTCATTCTCCTAGGCTTATCACAATTTCAAATGATTATAATTAGAAATTTTAACCCGACGAAATCCCGGGCTTTGGATTAAAGGGGCGTATGCAGAAGTTATGAGGCCGAAAGTAGGAAACCGTGTAACCTCACACCTTGCAATCTCACTTCACTTCCTGACCTTTGAATTTATTATATTTAATTTCAAAATTGTTAGTTTCAAAGAGAATTTTTCCAACGGGTTCAACGGAAAGCTCGGTTGTAACGTTTTTCAATTTATTACTTACAAAGGGAACGTACAGACGTGGAACGCCGAATTTAATGATTTTTTCCCCTAGCAATGAGCCATAGGAGCTGAGAAAAATCGTGTAAAAAAATAAAGTCATTTGCCTTTATTCTGTATGTATTTCAATATCGTCGTTTATCAGACGATTTTAAAAAATTTTGTTTACCTTGGAAAATAAAATAATATGCAGGATTGTATTGAATGTTGTTATATATATATGAAAAATTACAAAAAAAATCCTTAGTGAATTGGCCAAATTTTTTCCTTAAAAAAAACAATTTGGATTCGTTTTAAGCTTATTTTAAAGCCCTTAAATACGAATTTTTATAGCAAACAAAAATTTTAATTTTTGAGCTGGATTAACAGGATTTTTTTTCTGATGTCTGGTGTTCCACCTAAATGTCACAGCTCCTCTGGAGTTTATTCAAATCAAACGTTATTCCAGCCGTTAGAAAGCTGAATGTTTCTTCCTTTAAAAAATGTCAAGAAGAAATCAACAAATGTATAATTTTATGTCTCCAATTCTAATTTTTTAAGGGGACCAAGTTTAGGACTTGTCGTTCCTCCTCTACACCTATACCCCGACTTCACCCTTCCACCATCTTGGCATCCTTCGCCGACGACACAGCTGTGATCCTCAGATCCCGATCCACATCCCTTACGGAGGATTCCAGGCACATGTTAAACTAAATTATGTTTATTTACTTATTATATTAAGTTATATTAAATGTTACGTTAAATAACCTAATGGATCAAACTATAAAATGTAATGTAAGCAGAAGCACCCATGAATCATTCACCCTTCGAAACAAAACCCCTCATGCAAAATTCCTCAATAAACTCCCATCCTAAAAACAGATTGTGTCCGCTAGCTTGGGTTCCATCTAGACTCAAGACTAACATTGAACCAACCCACACGGTTAAAACGACAGGACGACTACTCCACAGATTACTGGCACGCAAATCCACAAGACAATAGTAAAACCAATCTGGACTGACTAGAACTGTGCGGCCCCGCTAAACTTTCTAACATCCAAAGAATACAATCCTTCCAGTCAAAAGTCCTCAGAACCACAGTCAATACTCTTTAGTACGCCTCCATCAACCTTCACAGTGACCTCAAAATCCCTCTAGTACAAAAAATAATCAGTGAAACATTTTCAATTTTCCACAATAAACTCTCCCCTAATCCAATAGAAACCACTCCTATATGCCATCAGACAACTGAAGAAGAGATGACCTCGCGACCTACTATGGTCCTAACGGTACCAACGATAGCTGTCAATTCTCCTCACGACACATGATCTATGCCATTTTGAAATATTGCAAATCCAGCTCATTACATAATTTAAATAAAGTAAAGATTGTAATGAATATTAAAACAACATATAGTTTATAATGTTCTAAAGTTGTGAAAAGTTAGTTGTATATTTGTGGAGTCGTTTCAAAATTAATCATTTTTGTGATTT